TTATTGACATATAACTTTATGGCTACTGAATCTAATAATAAATATTGGGGCTGGCATTCTAGAAACTTTTCTTTTTCTGTTATTAATTTTTATCACATTTTATTAATGTATCAGTCCATGATGTTTTGGAAATTTTAAAACTTGGTCCTTTGCCACAGGTAGTCTGAGAAGCACAGCAACCCAGTCTCCCTGACAGGGGTATCTCTCTTTGTAAATCCACTAGTGGCATTCCGGAGAAGGAAGTGACTGGTGAGATGAAGGACTGTAGGACTATTTTAGATAATGTGGTCAGGGAAAGTCTCTCTGAAATGGTGACATTTGAATTGAAGAAAGACACTCCAAATGGAGGGACCGAATGGCAAAGTTTTGCGAGGTTGGGAGAGGGCATGGCATGTTCATGGAACAGAAAGGAGAGCAGTGTGGCTGGATGTGAGGGTTGAGAAAGGTGGTGGGAGATGAGCTGCAGGGGAGACCAGCAGCCAGGTTTCGCAATTACAGAGACCTCTTCTCTTTTCCCCTCCTACATTAGAGATAAGAGTTAATGAACCACAGGCACCCTGTTTGTCTGAATAAGGGCCTTATTCAAAATGTACTTGAAGAAACAACCAAATGTTATCTTTTTTTTTATTACGTTATGTTAATCACCATACATTACATCATTGGTTTTTGATGTAGTGTTCCATGATTCATTGTTTGCGTATAACACCGAGTGCTCCATGAAGAACGTGCCCTCCTTAATACCCATCACCAGGCTAACCCATCCTCCCACCCCCCTCCCCTCTAGAACCCTGAGTTTGTTTTTCAGTGTCCATCGTCTCTCATGGTTCGTCTCCCCCTCCGATTTCCCCCCTTCATTCTTCCCCTCCTGCTATCTTTTTTTTTTTTTTTTAACATATAATGTATTATTTGTTTCAGAGGTACAGGTCTGGGATTCAACAGTCTTACACAATTCACAGCACTCACCATAGCATATACCCTCCCCAATGTCTATCACCCAGGCACCCCATCTCTCCCACCCCCCACCCGTCCAGCAACCATCAGTTTGTTTCCTGAGATTAAGAATTCCTCATATCAATGAGGTCATATGATACATGTCTTTCTCTGATTGACTTATTTCGCTCAGCATAATACCCTCCAGTTCCATCCACGTTGTTGCAAATGGCAAGATTTCATTCTTTTTGATGGATGCATAATATTCCATTGTGTGTATGTATATATGTGTATATATATATATACCACATCTTCTTCATCCATTCATCTGTCAATGGACATCTTGGCTCTTTCCACAGTTTGGCTATTGTGGACATTGCTGCTATAAACATCGGGGTGCACGTACCCCTTCGGATCCCTACATTTGTATCTTTGGGGTAAATACCCAGTAGTGCAATTGCTGGGTCATAGGGTAGCTCTATTTTCAGCTTTTTGAGGAACCTCCATACTGTTTTCCAGAGTGGCTGCACCAGCTTGCATTCCCACCAACAGTGTCAATGGGGAAAAACTGAGAGCTTTCCCCCTAAGGTCAGGAACACAGCAGGGATGTCCACAATCACCACTGCTATTTGACATGGTACTAGATGTCCTAGCCACAACAATCAGACAACAAAAAGAAATAAAAGGCATCCAAATCGGCAAAGAAGAAGTCAAACTCTCACTCTTTGCAGATGAAATGATACTTTATGTGGAAAACCCAAAAGACTCCACCCCAAAACTGCTAGAACTCATATAGGAATTCAGTAAAGTGGCAGGATATAAAATCAATGCACAGAAATCAGTGGCATTCCTATACACCAACAACAAGACAGAGAAAGAGAAATTAAGGTGTCGATCCCATTTACAATTGCACCCAAAATCATAAGATACCTAGGAATAAACCAAATGTTATCTTACACTTGGCTTTAGTTGGAGAGCAAGAATTTTCTGTTTGAAGCCCAGGAGCAGACTCAACAATAATATCTCTCATGAGAAGTTAGGAGGTGTTATTTTCTTGCCACAGATTAAGACACTGAGGCTCAGAAAGTTCTATAACTTGCTTTAATCACACAGCGAATGAGAAACAAGCTCAAACTCATATCCTTTCCACTCTGTTTGACTGCCTTTCTTCAAAATGAGCCCCAAACAGCCCTTTTACCCACATGAAATTGTCTATATTTTAATTTGGTTTTTGGTAACATTATAAATGTGTGCAGAAGTGTAACAATTATTGAGACTTTGCATTTATTTTCAGTACCTCCTCTGTGTTAATTTCTTGAAGCTGCTGTGACAAATTAGCACAAACTTGGCTGAAAACACAGAAATTATTCTCCCACACTTCTGGAGACCAGAAGTTCAAAATCCATCAACCAGGGAATGTGTTGTGCTCCCTCTGTGAAGTCTCCAGGGGACAATCTGTTTCTTGCCTCTTGCAGTTTCTAGTGGCTCAAGGGTACCTGGCTTGTGGCTGCATCATTCCAATCTCTGGTCATATGACCTCCCCTTCTCTTTGCATGGCTCTTCTAAGGACACTTGTCATTGGATTTAGGGCCCACTCATAATGTAGGATGATTTCTACTCGAAATCCTTAACTTACATATGCAAAAACCCGTTTTCCGAATAAGGTCACTTTCACAGGTTCTGAGGATTAGGATGTGGATGCATCTTATGGGGGACCACCATTGAGCCCACTGCACCCTCCCTGTGCTCCAGCCTGGAGACCCCATAGGCAGTCAGCTGGGGACCCATCAGACTCAGCTCATCTGTTTCTCTTCTTCCAGGAATCACTACCTGCTATCTGAAAACCATTGTTTCAGATATTTTGCCCAATTTTCTAGTTGTTTACACAGTAGGTAAATCCAGTCCCTATGACTCCACCTTGGCCAGAAGCAGAAGTTGCACCCAAGTGTTAAGTTCATTGAGTGTGGAGACCTTGCTCATACCTGCATCATCAGAGCCTATAGAAATGACTGGAATGTGGTAATCCTTCCATAGCACTTGATGAATCAATGAGCAAACGAATGAAAAGGAAATTAATCTAAATCCTTTTGCCGGGGCGCCTGGGTGGCTCAGTCGTTAAGCGTCTGCCTTTGGCTTGGGTCATGATCCCAGGGTCCTGGGATCGAGTCCCATCCACATCCAGCTCCCTGCTTGGCAGGAAGCCTGCTTCTCCCTCTCCCACTCCTCCTGCTTGTGTTCCCTCTCTCTCTGTCTCTCTCTCTGTCAAATGAATAAATAAAATCTAAAAAAAAAAAAAAAATCCTTTTGCCTCAGTCATCTGGGCAAGCTTGAGCCATCTTTCCTTAGCTGAGTATATGCTAGTATGAGTCACTTTATTTGCCAATCCACTGAGCCTTCTTGCTTCGGCTTTCATGGCTAATGCGAAAAAACAGCACTGGGAAATGTAAGAGATTTACCTATGGAGCACATTTTGCATAATGATATTTATGAGAAGTAGGTTCGGCTCGCGTTTTAAATAAAAAGAACGGAGGGCATTTAGGGGGGAGGGGCTGATGTGGGAAAGGTGAGTGAGCAGCAATATTGCCACAGGGAATTGAGGCCAGATGATGTGTTTAATGGAAAATACATGATAAGGCAGTGAGAAAATATAAGAAGCAAGAGATAAGAAAGAAGCTTGTCTATCGAAGAACATGTCATAAATTTTATCAGTCCATATCAAAACAAATTATGGTCATATATGAAGAAAAATGGTTTCTGCTTTCATTTCCACATGCACACACAAAGTTAAAAAGAAAATATTACCATTTTCAATAGCATTTAGGCGAGCACCTGTTGTATGGCTGTGTGATTTAGCCCAAAATCAAATTATCTTGTATAGATATAAAGTATAGAACTTTGTTAGTTTGCTTTGAATTTATTACATCAGATTTTTAATGACAAATAAAAAATAATAGACATTTGTTATAAGACTAAAAGTACAAAGGTGGATGGAGTTAGAAATCTACTACTTTAATTGCAATCCCCTGAGGTAACCAATTATTAACAGTTTAGTGGGTATCTTTCTACATCTTCCTTGATGTTCCTTAGAACATATATAAATATATTTACATATACAGTGGGTGGTTTTGGTTTTATAGAAATGTGAACAAATGAAATATATACCTTTTTTTTTTCATTTAACAATAGATTAGAGACATCCTACCAGATGAATACAGAGAGAGATTTACCTCACATTTTTTAATCTAGAGATGAATTTACTATCATTTATTCAACTGTTCCTCAAATGATGTACATTCTGGTGTTTTCTGGGTTTTTTTCCACCACAGATAATACTGCACTGAACACACTTGTGATTGCAGACTGTTCTAATTTCATTGTCATGGGTATCTGAGCCTTGAAATCTAACCTTTCAAAATGCCACTTGCTTCCCCTTATCCTCCCTGTTATTTGGAGAAGGAAGCTAGCTGAAGGGGGACACTGCAGATGAGCTAGGCAAACGGGTAATCACTCCATACCGCACATGGCCAGCAGCTTCCTGCTACACTATTTACGTCCTAGTCCATTGAGATGGCACTCTCCGTTCACATGACCCAAATGCAGCTCGCACTCCACCAAGAACACAGCTGAATCCAACTGCATTGGCAGCTTTGCACATGCTCCGTCTGGCCCTGTGAATCCTCACTCACCCATTGAGATTTCTTTTGGTTTAAAGCAACATTCCAGCTCCTGAAGCTCCGTGACCTCCAGTGTTTTCCTGGCTCTGATCCAAGGCAGGTGGCCCCCTGCAAATGGTGTTTTTTTGAGTTTGAGCTTTTTTGTTTATTTGTTGGGGGTCGGACGGTGTATGATAATTACCCACAAGCTTAGCTGACGAATGGAAACATTAAGAAGTAACTCTTTTTTCTGGCAGGTATTGTAGGAATAATATTTACTTATTACCATCATTTGCCTTGACAACAACCTGCAGCTCTAATGCACATTTAATTCTCAGAGGTCTTGGCGAATGATGCTGTATCTGACTGATGTGTTGTTGACTATAACATGTGAGGTGGTGTTTTTTTCCTGTCTAGAAACCTGGATGCTTTTTGCCATTCTGATGGTGAATGATGAGACAGGCAACCATGGATTTCAGCACTCCATCTGTGTTTGATCAGCAAAAAGGTAAAAACGCTGTTTTCATACATCCTTTGGTTCTTCGCATCTTTAGTTCAGTAGTTGAGATTTTGCAATTCTAAGAGGAAAGAGAGTAGTGTGTGTGTGTGAGAGAGAGGGTGAGAGAGAGAAGAGAGAGAGAGAGAGAAAAAAGAGGATTTCAGATAGAAAACCTGTTCTAAATGTTCGCTTCTTATTTGATAAGCATTTGGAAGGGAAAAATAAGCTTCTGGTCTGTTTGTCTTGTTAAAATATTCTGATCTACAAATTTTAAAAATTGGGTTTCGAGCACACCAGCTACTTCAGATACGATCATCTTTATTCTCATTTGATTTTTTTCAAATCTTCTCAAAAAATGTTATAGGAAGTAATATGAAAAGAATAAATCACGTATCTCTTTTCAGTCTATTAACCCAGTATCTCATTGCTCCAGTTTCATAAATACTTCTTGATTCCCTTTTAGGAATAGATGTTAACCTAGATTTACGCTGTAGTTGATATATTATCTCATCCGGGGTTGTGGTATGACTTATTACTATGTTATTATTTGTAATGACGGGATATATCTTTCTTACTCATAATTTGCAGAGTGGAGGTCATTTTCCACATGAAAAGATTGCTGTGGAATCAACCCATCCTCATAAAAACCATGTATTCAGCCATATACATTTTGCATATGAAGTGTTTACATGTGTGTATACATAATACCTTTGTGCAATGATGCACCTTTTCTATGCACAGGAAATTTCCACTCTGTAAATGTCATAGATATTTTTTTAGAATATTTTAAAAAATAATCTGTTATCTAAACCACTTTCTGTTACCTGTGAGTATTCTTCAGGATCCTCAAGTTCTTTGATCATTTCCTTGTTTGGGGTACAACATGAAAATGGTGATTTGTGAAAGCCTCATTAAGAAAATTCATTGCTTCTTTCTTTTTCCCTTTTCCTGCTTTAGGCCATACTGTGTTTACTATTCTTCAAGCTACATCTGGTTTCATGGGTGAATTATTTTAGTTCAGTGCTTTCTCAAATATTAGCTTTACATTTAGACACACACACAGATTGATCTCCACTCCTTACCTCATTTTGAATTGTGTGTGTGTGTGTGTGTGCACCTTCAGAATGTGCTGGTTCACACTGCGTTGGATGATGAACACCATAGAGAAAGTGACTATCATGGCCGTGCCCACAACTATCCTCTCCCTTGCGTACGTCTTATATCACTGAAGACAATCAGGAAAAGTGAAAATATGGCTAAATCCAAAGACCTAATACTGGCTAAAAAATGACATTGCTGAGCTATGCAATCCAAAGAGGAGCATAGTGGGCTTATTTTGTAAGACTAATTTAAGGAAGCTGGAACTGACTGCGAAGAGCTGGCCCTTCATAAAGAATTCCTCATGTTCTAGGGTTGTGTCTCCTTACAGGACTGAGCCTAAAACATAACTAGTTAACATATTAATTTGTAATATTTATTTTCTTATAGCACCTTTCATGTGAGCAATTCACAGCATTTCCTCCACCCCAGTCCTGACTCTCCCTCATCGAAGTTAACCTTCTCCCTGACAACTCTATCTCTAGTTCTCAATCCTTTCTTTCTAGAGATGCTGCGGTATGGTGGAAATAGCATAAGCTGGGATGGCAGATCAACTTCTTAACTGTGTGACCTTTGCAAGTTACCTAACCTCTCTGGGCCTTATTTTCCTCAGCAATAAAATGGAGGAAATAATGCTGGCCTAGCAAGGTTGTTGTGAGAATATAAAATAATTTGTAAAAAGCACCAGTCCCATTGCCTAATGTGCCATAAGTACCTTAAAATTGTGGTTGCTTTTGTTATTATTGTTGCTATTATAATTATTACTACCTTGGACCGTGAGTTCCTCAAACGTGAAAGGCTCTTCACTTCTCTATCTCCAGCTTGAATTTAGCAGTCCTCAGAACAAATGAGAGTTTGGTTAATACTAGTTGACTAGAAAACTTTAATATTTTTTCAGAACTCCAGGGTACCATTCAGAGCAGTCCCCTAAAATAATAAATTAAATGATACCTGAATAGTTCTGTTATCACATTAACCCTTCCACCCTCTTAAAAGCATGAAAGGCCATAATGGTTTAGACCATTATATAGATTTTAAATACCAATATTGTGTTGTTGGGCAAACCATGGCAAAGTGACTTTCTCTCTATAAGTTGAATGTGGGCTTTATTTGAGGGCTCTCCATGAATTCTGAATATTTAGAAAATCAAAATTCTGGTAGATGCAGATGTTGAGGAATGACATGCTATCTGGAAGGATCTTAGAAGTCATGTAATCCACAGGTTCTCAAACTTAGCCACACATGAGAATCACGTGGACAGGTTTTGAAAATGCTGATGCCTAGATCTCCAGTTTAATTGGTGTGGGGTGTGGCCTAACAAAAGCTCCCCAGGAAGATCTCATGTACCACAAAGATTGAGAACCACTGATCCAACCCATCCCCCTAACATCTCCAATGGAAAGAGTAAAGCACAGAGAGGTTAAAAGGTGGGCCCTGTTTGTACTAAGACCCCCAGCTAATGAGTAATAGAGGGGACTGAGCCCCAGGTGTTCACTATCCAGACAATAGAACAATGAGAAATTTCTCTTCATGGGTGGTCTCTGGCCCCAATAGCTACTATGGGGTGGTGGTAGGGCTCAGGCTGCTCTGGTTTATGGGTTCCCAGAGAATGGTTAGCACTCGAAAAATATGACACAGAATGACCTTCAGGGCTCAAATGATGTGGATGTGCTAAGTCTGAATCCCTCCAATGGCATTTTTCTCTATTTCTCTTTGGTAGAGGTAACAAGGCATCCTTATGCTAGGGGCGTAGGGACGGATGGCAGTTGCCCATGTTCTGTCTCAGTTTTCTTCCCATTTGCATGCACCTGGGCAGACTGATCTCTGGGTCTGAAAAATGTGCAGGGGCAGGGCTGCTGGGAGGCTTAAAGATCTGGTTCTCTGACTGGCCAAAGGAATGAGAGCCGGGTTTCTGGCTTGCTTTGTGAAATTGTGGCACAGGAAGCCTGGGTCTTCAGAGCTCTCCACTCCTGCTTTGTGCTTTTTGCTTTCACCATAGCAACATCGCTTCTGGTCCCACGTGCTCTTCCTGGCTGTCTTCCCTCTCAAAGCCCACATGCAGGAAAGGACCTGTAGTAAAATCATTTACTACAGAACACAAAGGTTCCTACTGCAGTAGAGATGTTATATAACTGAAGAGATTTGCATTTTTAAGCTTTGTCCCTAATTGTGGAAGGAAAAGGTCTGCGATGCCTGAAGGAGGAACCTGAGGCCTCAGAGAGAGAATGGGAGCTGGACAAGCTTCCCAAGGGTCTTGCCTACACCCGGCCCCACCCAGGGCCTGGGAGGTAACGTGTTTGATGAGCAGTGTGTTTGTGGGCACCTGAGGGGGTTGGGGCCCACCCCACAGGCTTTTCACTGGTAGAGGTGCTGAGACAATACGAGGAGGGCAAGGCCCTCTGGTGCAGATTCAACCACTGCAGTAGGGTCCTAGGGCTGCCTGACAAAGCACCAGAGGTTGGGTGGCTTAAAACAACAGAAAGGCATTGTCTCACAGTTCTGGAGGCCAGAAGTATGAAATCAAAACTTCGGCTTGCTCCTTCTGCACTCTCCAGGGAAGAATCCTTCCTTGCTTTTTCCAGCTTCTGGCTGCTTGTGGCCTCCACTCCAGCCTGTGCCCCGTCTTCACATGGCCTTGTCCTCTGCGTGTGTCTCTCTTGTGAGCATCTGGCTTAGAACTCGATCTCTCTCATAGTACCAGTGCATGGATTACACTGAGGGCCACCCATATAATCCAGGATAAACTTCTACTCTCAACAGCCTTAACTTGATCACATCTTTTGACATATAAGGTGATATCCACCCTTTTGCCATATACAGTAAAATGAACAGGTTCCAGAGATTAGGGCATGGACCTATCTTCAGGGCCACCATTCAGCTTGCTACATGGCATGAAAAGATATCAAATCTCAAGTCCCTTGTCAGAAAGTATCATGACTGGGGTTTTGGTACAAATCCATTCTTACTGAAACTAGAGGGAAATTTGGCATTTGGGAGGGAAGATGGAAAGGGCATCTATTTGGTGCAGACTCTGCAGGTACTTTACATAGATTACATTTGAAAAGAACAAATGTTTATTGAGCGCTTAGCAGAGCCAGGCTGTGTGCCACATGGGCGTGGACTAGCTCATTTAACCCTCGTATCTGCCCCACTATTATTCCCCCCCTTTACCAATGAGGAAATTTTAAAAGGTTATGACTGACCCAAGGTTACGACAGATAAAATGGCAACACTGAGATTCAAGCATAAATCTGCTTGACTTCAAAACCCATGTCTGATCTAGACAGTACTCTTCCTTCATCGGCCATACATTTTAATGAAGAAGTAGAGATTAATGAAAATTCAAATTAATGAAGCAGTATTTTCACAATCAAGCTGTTCTTCCATTGTGTTGTGGATTTTTAAAGCTCCCACACACAGATGTGATGGTTTTAATTTCCAACTTTTCATCCAAAATGGGAATGATAAACAAAAAGAATTTAGAGTGTACAGATTTGCACTTTGCTGAAAAAGCAAAAGTGAAAATTCTGTGTGACATCCAGATGCCTCCAAAGGAAGAGTAAGCAAATTTTCAAAAAGGTTTGGGTAGAGAACAGAGAAAAGCCAGGCAAAGGAGACAAGACAGAGAGGGAATGATTTGGGCTCACATGATGATTTTAGGTTCAAAAACCTTGAGTGGGTGCCTAGACTAAAACCCAAGAACACTGAGGAGAATGCTGTGATTAATTTTCAGACTGATGGTCCAGATAAAGGAAGATTAGCTGGTAAATCATCAATCCACAGGTTTAGAAGCAGAATAGTCTGTGGCCTCTGGTAAATGATTAGCCTTCTCTTTTGGTGAAGGAAGAGGAGCAGAGGGAAAATGAGAGATGAGAGAATTCTTCTTCCAGTGTTATTGCCCACTCAAGACCAAGTTTAGTCAAACAGGTTTGCTGGAAGCCTGCCCTTACTTGCTTCCTTGCTGTCTCTTTGGCACAGGAAAACTCCTTCCCATCAACCAACTCCTGGGAAAGGTTGTGACAAACCAGTCCACTCCTGGCTCCTCTTGTGAGCCTAGCTGGAGGGAAGCCCTTGACGAATCTTATCCAAACAATTACCATTCACAGCCTTAGAGAGCCATGAAAATGCAAGTGATTCAGCAGGTTGGGGATTAGGAGAGTGGTATCATTGTCACTATTCTTCTCCAGAGGACAGCCCTACTGTCCTGGGGAATGAGGCCTCCTGCTGTAGGATGCATCCCAAGGAGGATCCAGGAGTGGTAGCCCGAGGGAATGGAGATACACCAGGTCCCTTAGGTCTGTGTCAACCCTGATGTTATGTCCCACAACATAGCCAGACCAATTTCAGAAGGCAGATCTGCTATTCAGCCCCTTTTTCAGAAGTCAGCTAGGCCACCACACTGAGCTTTTCCTGCCATCTCTATTCATTAACTCCACATTTCTTTAACAATTATTAACTGTGTTGAGTAAATTGATATTCATGTATTTTCTCTTTAATGCAACCATTTGGATGCAAGGATATTTTAACGGAATCTGAAAAAAAAAAATTCTACACATGTAGCTATTATTATTACCAAACATGTATGAAACAAACATCTCACCTATCCCCAAATATGAGACAAGGTGAGAAGGTGAGGTTCTAGACGCACGTGCATGCAAGACTGGTGTAGAAGATGTGTACAGATACCATCTTGCAGAAAGACCACATCCAACCAGGAGTCATGCTTAGCACTTCTATCAGGAAGCCTGTCTATCAGTCAGAGCAGTGTTGGCTGATTCTGAGAATCCACTTGTTGAAGAATGATCTACATCTCAGCTTTTCTGATTTATCTCTTAAAATCATGATGGTTTTACCTAATACTTATTAGCTTTCAACTAATAGAGTTGTGTGCTTAATAAGGGCCTTGGTTTCTTTTCTTTTTTTTTTTTTTTTAAGATTTTATTTATTTATTTGACAGAGAGAGACACAGCGAGAGAGGGAACACAAGCAGGGGGAGTGGGAGAGGGAGAAGCAGGCTTCCTGCTGCGCAGGGAGCCAGATGCGGGGCTCCATCCCAGGACCCTGGGATTATGACCTGAGCTGAAGGCAGACGCTTGATGACTGAGCCACCCAGGAGCCCCTAGTTTGTTTTCTCTTTGTAAAACTTATAAATGTCACTGACTCATCCATGATTTTGTTTTATTGGGTCTGTTGGGGAGGAGGAAAAGGGAAGACTGTCCTTTTACACAGGAAATATTTCTATTTCTAAATGTTCCTCAGAATTTTAAAATATACATGTACAATATTTAATAGCATTCTAATTCTTTTTTAACTTTTTGTTTGAAAATAATTTCAAACTTAAGGAAATGTTGTAAAAATAGTATAAAGAACACTTGTGTCTTTTACACAGATTCACCTAACGTTAACATTTTGCCCCATTTGCTTTATTGTTGGCTTTCTTCTCTGTCTCTCCCTGTCCCACATCTCCCTGTCTCTGCCTCTCTCCGCCTCCCTCTATGTATATATATGCATATGTGTGTGTATACTATAATCTGTCTGCATTCCGATTTTGTCTAGTGAGCCAGTAACATCTTTCATAGCATTTCCTCCAGTACTTGATCCAGTCTAGGATTAGGTATTACATTTAGTTGTCATGTGTCTTGTGTTTCCTTTCTTCTGGAACATTTCTGTACTCTTCCTTTGTCTTTTATGACATTGACATTTTGAAATTACAGTCTCTCTCTCTCTTTTTTAATACTGAGTTCCTCTTTCTGGGTTTGTCTGATGCTCCCTCATGACTAGTTTTAGATGATGCATTCCCAGCCAAAGTACCACAGGGTGATGTCTCCATCTCAGGTTATCACAATATCATTTAAATCTTTTTAAATGGTAATTTGAAGTGACAGGTCTTGCACTACTACATATCAACCAGTTCTTACAATGGGTTTTTTTCTTAATATACTGGGATTTTTTCCTATTATAAAATTAATACGACCTTCTTCAAAATAGTCAAGCAATACAAAAAGGATTTCAGCATAAAAAGTGTTGTATTCTAGCCATATGAATGTTATATAGCTAGTAAATGGCTCTGTTCTTCAGTCTGTGAGCCCAGCCTGTCCTCAGCTTCTCAGCCACCAAGATGGACTCATAGTAACTCACCCTCCCTGCTGGGGCTGGGAAATAGCTTCCAATGGGAGATAAAGGAGATCAGGCCAAGAATATCAATCAGCATCATTAATCAGAAGAAGAGCAATAACTGGTTAATTAAGCAGCTCCCATGTGCTAGGTGCTGTGCTAAACTCTTTCCTCCTGTTACGTCGCTTGAACCTCAACACAGTCTATGAGATACGTCCCATCTTTGGTTGTCTGAGGTTACACGACTTGGCCAGCACCACATAGGCCAAGGGCAAAGCTGCCATTTTAACTCCAGCTTCTGAAACCCAAGCCCTACTCACACTCCCCTTTACCACAAAGTTAGACTTTGTGGTCTCTGATAGCCCACCCCATCCACCACTTTGTGACTCTTAGTGCAAGAAGGAAAAGAAAGGTAGTGGCACCTCAAGTGGGACTGGTGGGAGCTGACAGCCCTGAAGTGGCTAACCCACAATGAACGTCCAGTTGCAATGAGCTCTCAGTGGGTACTGCTCATTGTGACAGCCTGAACTTTTCCAGGGTAGCGATGGATTCAGTCTCCATGGCAGGCTGCCTTGGGAGCAGAGAAGGGCACCAGCATCTTGGGAGAGGAGTCCACAGCTAAAAGATTGGGGTGACACAGAAATGTGACCTGTGGAGCTGATGTGATAGAAGCTGGGTATTTGCAAGGTCAAGGCTTGGGTTCCATCACAGAAGCTTCAGAAGCCAGGTTCTTCATCATATTCCTACTCAGCACATTTGTTCTCTGCAGCAACCTGTTGATGTTTCTCCAAAAGACAGTTCAGGGAGCCCAGCCCTGAAAACAAGGTCACACATAAACAGCATTAGATAGAAAGAAAAAAAGAATTATTTGGACATCGATATCCTGTGGTTTGATTGTGAATAACCTTGAGACCATTTCTTTGTTCTTTAACTCACCATAATAAATCAGAACACAGTCTGCTGTTTTGTTTTGTTTTTTTAAACTTCTTTTTAAGAACTGTGACAGGTACACCTGAAATTCATCTGAATTGACACTTTTATCCTTCTGATTACTTAGTGCTATTAAAAAATGGTGTTCTAGAGTTTTGGCTACAACTTGGCTGACTCAGCATGACCAGTAAATATAGAGAGGCGTCAGGATGGGCTCACAGGCATCTGGTTTCAGGTAGTCAGAGCAGAAATCAATTTCAGGATGGATCCTGGAAGTGTTTTGACTTAGAACAGTCGTATTTTGGAACTGGAAGGAACCTCAGTCTGTAATCCAACTCCCTCACTTTTTATATGTGAAGACTGAAACATAGAGGTATTGATGGGGATACCATGTAATGCTGTAATGGCCCCTGGAGCCAAACTGAACAGGTCAAGGCCAGTGCCACGACTTACTGTGTGACCCAGCTGCTTAACATCTCTACAGCTCACTTTCCTACCTTGTAAACTAAGATGAAGCTACTACAGAGGATTGCTTATCTAGATTGAATTAATGAATACATACAAAGCCCCTGCAACCATTCCTGGCTCGTAGTAATCATTCAGTGAGCGCCAGCGGTGGTTATAGGATTGTTGTAAAGATGGTTATAACAAGGATTGTTCTAAAACTTTAATGAATACATACAAAGCAGTTGGAACTAGGCATGGCCCAGAGTAATCACTCTGTGAGTGCCAGTGATTCTTATAAATGACTCACATAAGGTCACATGGACAACTGGTCTTCCCAGGTCAAGAGAACATCTTACCCTTTAAGCTGGCTCCTCCTTAGTAATGAATACATGGCATAGCACCACTGTTTTTTGTGGAAATTGGAAGGGGCAGAATTTTCCTGGGCAGGAAAACCACATCAGAAGGAAATGAATTCTCCAGGAAAGCTCACACAACTTGGACTAATTCTACTTTGCCTGTCCTCTGTTACTGGTGTTCTGTCCTTCCAGATAAAACTCTTCCTTTTGCCCAAAAGCCAGTCTACCTGTTAGCTTTCACTGGCCATGCTGGTGCCAGGCAGGTTTCTGGGCTCTCTACATGGTTCTGGGAATCTATCTGGTTTTGAGGCAGAATCTCATTTTTTAAAATTTAATAGTTTTATCATGTTTTACGATTTGATAGAGGAAAACTCCCTCAGTACTCTTTTTTCCCCCAATTTCATTGGATATTCTTATTCATTTTTTGTTTCCTTTTTTTTTGTTTATTTATTTTTGCTTTTGGAAGATACACATTAATACATGTTCAAGGTGTAAAACAATATCCAATGAAGAATCTCCCACCCTGCCAAACTCTCTAATCATCCAGTTCCCCTCCCTGGAAGCAAAACAATATAAGCAGTTTCCTATGTATACTTCTAGAGAGATTCTGTGTAGATAAGCAAATCGTTAAATATAATCTTTTTTCTTCTTTAAAGCATAAAGTTATCCATTTGTTTTTACAAATTAAAAGTAGTGTCATTTTCCTGAACCCGACCCCCCAGAAAACTATTGAAACTTTTATTGAGGGACGCCTGGGTGGCTCAGTTGGTTAAGTGACTGCCTTCGGCTCAGGTCATGATCCTGGAGTCCTGGGGTCGAGTCCCACATCGGGCTCCCTGCTCGGCAGGGAGTCTGCTTCTCCCTCTGACCCTCCCCCCTCTCATGTGCTCTCTCTCTCCTCTCATCCTCTCTCTCAAATAAATAAATAAAATCTTAAAAAAAAAAAAAGAAACTTTTATTGAAATGACATTAAACTTACAAATGAATCTGTATAATAATTAAAATTTATTATCCTATTTAGTTTGCCCTTTCTGGGAATATGGCATATATCTCCATGAATTCAGCTCTTCTGTTATATTGCTCAACAAAATTCTGTAGTTTTCCTCAGTTAGATTTTAAATATTTATTCCTGGACATTTTATATTTTCATTGTAATGAGTTATTTCCTGCTTATATTATTTATTACAGAGAACTATCTAGTTTTATATTTTATATTTATTTTAAAATCTGCTAACTTAATCAAATCTCATTACTTCTAATAGTTTTGTCATTAGTTCTCTTGTGCCGTCCTTGTGCATAGGATGAAACCTAATGGACTGTTTTCAAATCCTGTTCTGCCAACTATGGGGAAATTATTAAACTTCTCCATGCTTCAATATCCTCATCTATAAATTGGGATAAAGATACTACCTACTTCATAAAATTGTTGAGGCAAATAAATAGCTTAATTCAAATGATACTGTTAGGACAGTTAGCTATTATTAAAACTATGATAATTTTCCTCTCCCTTTGTGATCATTAGATTGTCTTCTTTCTTCTCTATTGTTTTACTATTAAATATGATGTTTGGAATTGATTAGAAATAAATGCACTTAACCATACTTAGAATGTAAGCTTTCAGCTGTTAAGCATTTTTTTAGATCCTTACTCACATTTTCATGTATTTCCCCTTTGTTCTAGTGGTGTGATATATTTTATTAATAGATATCAAGAAATCAAAATGTTGTGGTTTTGGAATATAGGTGAAGTTCAGTGGGGTGAGGTCTGGAGCTGGACCAAGAAAGAATTCTTGAGACATCTTTGGTGCAAAATGGTGGTTTTAATTAAAGCACAGGGACAGGACCCGAGGGAGGGCAGAAAGAGCTGCGGCACCAGGGTCCTGAGGAGTGGTGATTATGTACGTGGGAGTTGGGGGAAGTAAGGAAAAGGGAGGTTTCAAAAGAATTTTCATATGATAAAGAGGACCGACCTACAAGATACCTACAAGATACTGGAGGCCCTTGCCATTGTCAAGTTAAGGTTGTTTTCCCCTCTTGCAAGGTATTAACATTAAGATAGTTGGGAGATCCCTAGGAGACGTCACACATGTCCCACCCAGGAGTGGGGTGGGGAAGGTTGCAGGGTGTCAGCTTATGCTTTGTCTTCAGCAAGCCTTCTGCTTCCTCAACAGAAACATCTTTATAAATGATTAACTATTTGATCATGGTGTATTATTCTTTCAATATCCAACTGAATTTTATCTGGTAGAATTTAATTTAAAACTTAGAATTCTATGCTCACAAATTGAATTCTTCTGTAGGTGCCTTTGTGTGTGTGTGTGTGTGTGTGTGTTACCAGTTTTGCTGGCCTTAGAAAATAAATTTGAGGGGGTGCCTGGCCGGCTCAGTTAGTAGAGCATCCAACTCTTGATCTTGGGGTTGTGAGTTCAAGCCCCATGTTGGGTATAGAGATTATTTTTTTTTTTTTTAATTTAATTTAGTTTTATTATGTTATGTTAGTCACCATACAGTACATCATTAGTTTTTGATGTAGTGTTCCGTGATTCATTGTTTTCAAATGACATCCAGTGCTCCATGCAATATATGCGCTCCTTAATACCCATCACTGGGCTAACTCATGCCCCCCACCCCCCACCCCCCACCCCTCTAAAACCCTCAGTTTGTTATTTAAAAAGAAATTCTTTAAAAATAAGAAAAGAAATTAGCCAAATTTCCCTTTTTCTGTGCTTCAGTTTGAGAATTCTTTGTTCCTTGGTCATTTGATATTTATCTTAACAAACTAAAAGAATTCAGTCAACCTCACTTTAGAATCTTTATGCTATTACCACCAGCTTTAATTCTCTCTCTGGTGTACAACCAACTCTTCATAGATACATTTCCAATTTTCAGTTGATATGTGAATTTTATTTTTGCTACAAATGAGTTTAAAGTCCAGGACAGTGATGTCTGTCAGGCAGAATGCTGAGCCACGCAGCTTGTGCAGCGGAGGGTAGATGCGGGCACAGGCTCTGTTAGAGAGAATGGAATGTAGAATGACCATCTAGCTCCAAAGAAAGGTCACAAGTTCACTGGACTATGTGAGAGCTTTGCCTCCTGAGTGAAAAGGCAGTTGTATACAATAGTACACATAGGTCAGAGGGTAGAATCTGAGGCCTGACAGCCTGCAGCCTTTTCTGAGTTTCACCAGTTACTACCTGTGTGACTTTGAGTAAGTCACATTCCTGTCCTATGCCTCAGTTTCCCCATCTGTAAAATGGGGATAATTTGTAGTACCTACTTCATAAGGTGAAAATTAAATGAGCTGATTTACAGAAAGGGTTTAGTACAGTGCCTGGTGCATAATAAGCATGATGTAACTGTTAACCATCATTATGACTGTTCTTCAGACAGTGACAGAGACATGAAGGGTGCAGTAAGAGTGGATGCTATCATAGTGACTGGGAGACATTACTGTCCTGTAGAAGTGGCTGTATCATAGTTTTTGCTAACTCTGGGGTTGTTCTAAGTTTTTAATTGCTTCAAATATGCTACCAAAAATTCTAGAATTCAAGTCTGCTGGAAAGACAAAAAAGCTCAGAACCTTGACTGTGGACTGGCCACAAGACTCTATGGAATGTGCCTGAGGTGCACTTTGGCTATATCCCCAAGTTCATGTGTGCACCATGGCAGAGAGGGCAGGTCTGGGCTTCTGCTTGCCAAGCCACAGTTTCGATGAACAGGAGGTAGGAAGAGCCTCCTGTAGGGAGTTAATAGTGATTTAGTATATGATAAGGTTGCCATTACAAATTAGCAAGAAAAGGGAAAATTATCCAATAATTGGCTATTTGGGAAAAAATTTTAGCATACAAAAATATAGTTTAGAAATTCCACATTAATTATAGTTAAATATTAACATATAAGTAAGTCTAAGGTCCCACAAATTCTTACCTCTCTAGTCATAAAAGCAATGCAATAAATTTTGTAAATGCAATATCCATAAATATTGAAGATGTGTTTTTCAAAAACCAACAAAACACCTGAAACTTAAGTAGCAAACAGGGAAAATAACTGCAGCATAGATGACAGGTGAAAAACTGGTGTCC